TAAGCGCAAAGTTACGTAGTTTACGTACGTCCGAGTCCGTATTTGCTCCGTAGAGATTCCCCCCTTCCTTCCTGGGCTGACTGAGGTGAAACCTCCGCGGTCGCATCATTGTCGCTAATACCTGACGGACGGAGTGGAAATAAACGGAAACATTTTGCGTGCCCGACCGAAACCGTGCGCGCGATGAGGCGGCCGCGGGGCGCGCGCAGCTGAAACCCGGAAGGGTTAAAGTGACCGAATGACGAGCAGGAGAGGAACTTAAGGTCTCCATGGCTGTGAAAAGTTAACGAAGAAACGCCTGAGAAAACAGGAATTATCCCCCCCTCTGCGACTCCAGGTAAGAATACAGGACACTTGAGAGGAGTTCAGGAAGTAAACGGCAGTGGAGGAGTACCGTAATGTCGGGCAAATGACTGAAAAGAGTCTTTGTTTACAGTGTGTCTCTGCAGGACTGGCCACTTTGTAGCAGCTCTGTGTAGCTGAGGTTAGTGGTAGTCTCACAGCTCTACAGTTTGTTCCCTAATAAAATCAGTTGTGCCTTAAATAGTTTACACAAGTTCCTCCGAACAAAACTGGATCACAGTGTTATTATTATATATATTAACAATATATGTTATATATGTGTTATTATTATATAAATGATTAATGGGGTTTTGAAGGTTTGGTGCCGTTTAATCTTCTGTTTTGGGGTCGGTGTTATATAAGTGCATTTATTTACCTCTACATTTATTTCCACTCTCACTGTTCAGTCATATTGAACAAATTAGGTTGTTAATGTAATACAGCGAAACACATTTTATAAATTAATCTCAAACACATTGTTTAGAGGTTATTTTCAAGAAGCGTTCATCAGAATCCAGATTCTGATTTGCAGAATATGCCTGCAATATGGAAATGAATTCAAGTCCAGCGTGTTTATGGTTTTCAAAATTGATTAATGGTTTTTAATTTCAGCACTTCTTGATGTTTTGGGTACTATAAGGTTGATATTTCAATTATCGCAGTGCATTTATTCACCTGGACATTTACTTTCTCTTTAAATGTCTATGTATGAGTCCATTTATTTTTGTCAATGTCTGTAAATAATAGTATGATAGATGGAAACAAATTTATAATTTACTGTTATTCTCTCTCTTTTTTTTTTTTTTACCAAAACCTGGGAGATAAAAGTTTTCAGTCTGATGATTTGGCCTCAATCAGCTCTTATTTTGAAGGACTGATTTGTCTTTATGATTCATTTTATTTGTTGTTTCTGGTTTGTTTATTTATTTTGGATATTTAAAAAGTCTTCCAGTTCAATGTTAAATGTTCATCAGAATTTAAAGTTTATTGATCTGTAAAAATGTATCATTACTTGAAAATGGTCTCAAAACAATATTATCGTTTATCACAATAATTTCAGGGACAATTTATTTGTCCTATATATAACAGTACGCATTTTGGTACTAAATGTATGTTGGTATGTTTTGTGTAACCCAGTTTGGTAGATAAATTGCTTATCTATTAGTGAAACTAAACAAAGTGTCTTGATTTTGAAGAAAAATCTGAATTATTCATATTAATGCTTCAATAACAATTATTCAACATGCTGTTGGATTTTACAGAAACAGATTTATAACTGTTTCTGTGAACAGTTAATATATGGATTCAATTGTATAGATGTAAACTGAAAGTAGATAATCCAGTTGTTTTAAAATATGTAATAAATTAGGCTCAATTAGTTTTGCAGCGGATGTACGGCGACGTTTTAATGTCTTTGTACTGCGTGAAAGGAGGCCTGCTGGGAAGACAAGAGGGAAAAGAGTCTTGGGTCACTCAGGATATTTGGGTGAAAAAATCTGCAATGTACCATGAAATCAGCTCACATCCTCGCTTCTGGTCCCTCTGAGAACCAAAATGAAACCCGACCGCTCCCTCTGGCACCGGCTGTGTCAGCTGCTGCACCTCCGGCTCTTCTGGGTGAACAGATGCTTCTCAGACAGGTGCATCCCTGTAACAAAAGGCTGCAGACCCTTTACTTTATTTCCTTCCCGCCATGTTTAATCCCACAAACTGTGCATGCAGCTGATTCAGTAATGGAAGTATTTTTGAATCCTGCTGATTGTGAGTGTGCTTGAGAATTTACTTTCACCCAGATACTGTTGTGTAAGTTTTGTCGTTCATTGAAGGAATAGAACGAATTTGCCTACAGCGATAGTCATCTTGGCAGCCTCAGAGCTTTGCAACCTGTTCCTCATTTCTTAGTTCTATTTATTTACTATTCAGTCATTTTTAACCATTACATACACAAGTCAACAAAGAAAGAAAAAAAATAACAAGAGGCCAAACTAGTAGGGAAATAGTTAAATATCTAACTTCCTGTAATTGTATTCTGAAAAATGTGTCTTCACTTTGTTATCCATAAAGCATCATCAAAATCAAAGCAGAAGAATGTTTTCTATATATTTATCTCCAAACAAACTCATAAAAGAAAACATTTCATTTTCTCAGCAACTTATTCCCTCTAATTGAAGTACAATTGTTTTTAATATTCGTCATGACCTTTAGTTGTTTTTTTTTAAAATAAATCTCTCTTTCCTTGTAGCTACTTTAATTTTGAACCATTTTTGTATGCAACTTAAAATGAGTTAATTATCTGCTTTGATCACAGTTAACACTGTGTTTAGATTATTTATTGTATTTCTCCATAAGTAAGGAGATTCCCAGCAGAAGTTTTAGACCAGACAAACCAGTTTGAGCCTCCACACGATGATTTAGCAGTTTGTATGGTTGATACTCCTGCAGCACCTATTTATGCAAATAAGCAGCACTGGTTACTCATTTGTTGACTCACTGCCTTGTCGGCTACAAAAGATCCATAGGAAAGCGTACGGTTTGGTGAGTTCCTGTGATATGAATATGGCTGCGCGTCACGCGCTCGATTTGCTGCTGAGCGCCGCGTTTGTCGAAGAAATGAGGCCAAGGAAGAGACTTGAAGTGGAAGAGAGCGGAGGACAGGAAAAGTTTGACGGCTTCTCTCGGTAATGTGCAGCGACAGTTGAGCAGTGATGAGTGTCTGCAATGTCCTCCGTTTAACCCTTCGCTGCACCTGCCGCCACTGAGGCAGAGCCGGCTCAAAGCACAAGCAAACTGAGCCGCTGCTCGTTTAATGAGTTACAAAATTGAAATAATGACATCAGGGATGGACGTTATCGATTTAAAAAGTGGATTGCTATTATGGATCATGCAGTGATTTTCTTAAAATCCAGAATTTTTTCTTGTTTTAAAACGGTTGACCATCTCTCCGTAACAAAGGGCAAAATTTTTTCATAATATGCTGAATTAATAAAACAAAACAATTAAAATTTAACATTAGTTTGTGTTCTAAATACTGACTGGATAAACAGAAAATTGTGCTTTTCTCACATTGTTGAACTTTGACCTTTTAACAAATATAACAAATCAGGAACTATTTAAAATACTAAGTAGAAACATAAAAGATGAAGAGAATAAAACGAACAGAGCAGAAATGTTCTTATTAAAAATATATCCGTCCGTCCGTCCATCCATCCATTTTTCTCTTTCTTCAAGAGGGTTGACTCCATTGCATAAAACGGATCTACTCGACTTTAAAAAAAAGTAGACTTTTTAAAAAATCTACTTTTATCTATTTTTTAAGGTAGATTTTTAATTTTTTTTTAGATTTTTTAAAATCTATCTTAAAAAAGTAGATGTAGTGATTCAAAAAATTATCTATTATAAAATATAAAAGCCATAAGGAAATATTTTATTAAAATGACGCTTCATATATTTTTTTAATTAGATATATTTTTATTTTATTTTTTCTTTATTTATTCATTTATTTTTTGGTCTCATATTGACCCAAGCTTAAAGTCAAAGGGGGAAAAAAAGCTAGACTTTTTTTTAAACTATTATTATTTATATATTTTTAATCTGCTTCATCAGAATGTCTTCTTTACAGTCAGATAGGTGTGATTATTAAATTAAGCTGTTTTTACTCGGGCAGTGATGAAGGCAGACTTGTTTTTTGCGAAGCCCTGCAGCGCAGCCAGCAGCTGAAGCTCCATGCATGATGAGCAGCTGAAGAGACAACAACCCTGGGCTCCTGATGAGCCGCAGACAAACCGCATTATGCTTTTGTTCCTCATTATTAGCTGGAAGCACTTTATGAAGTTGGACTTCCACTCCTTCCCTTAATAAGTCTTTTTCTAATGTGAAGACCACTTTCCCTTTATCCCATTTTATCTGCATTTATCTGTGGATGAAACGAAAAGTTGGGTCAGTATTATTCTTCTGGCCAAAACCCAATATTTATTGATATTATATTTAAAATCAACCGAGTTTTACAAATCAATCTGATATGTCAAAAAAAAAAAAGATTACTGGCCAATATTGATATATAATCAATCCCTATTCAACTGATTTCAGTATGTAAATAAATTATTAAATTAAAATAATTTGTAAGTTTTTTACACTTATTACAGCTCCCACTAGGAAACTGTAGATTTTTGTTTAAATTTTCTTTTTGTAGTTACATAATTTTTTTTTAATGAAAATTGATTTAAAAAAATCTTAAATTCACATAAGGCTTTAAAATGACATAATGAAATTACTTGCCCTTAAATTCGTTATCCACAGGTCTTGAATTTTGTTGTGGCAGAATATTTAATCTCGTCTAAAACACTAACGAGACTCTAGTGTTGTGTGAAAGAGTCAAGGTGCCAACGGTTGCATCTAAGCTAACTTCTGTTGTCAGCCCATACAATTAATTGATTTATTTTTTATGTTTTTGTCATGTTACAGGTCTTAAATTTAATTCATAATCGTCTTAAATTTGAATGTTTAAAAGTGCATTAATGCTACTAGCTTTTATTGTCACAAATATGTTTAAAAAAACAAACTTTAAAAAAATAAATAAATAGTACACATTGCAGCTTCAAGGGTCAAACAACACATTTATAAATTAACCATGAAGTTTAACAGAGGTTGTTGCAGAGATGAGTGGATCTGGAATTGGTTCCCCTGATCAGATTCTGCCCACGGCCCGTTCGGGTTTGGACCGCCTCTGAGGTGCAGCCTGTTTTTCCTGGGACGTGGGAGCCTTGTGTCTGGGAGCCTCCACTCTGGGATCCCATTCACACCAGGCTCTGGCTCGGCGTTCAGCTTTTATTTAAATCTCTTGAACGCAGCCCCGCAGCTTTTCTCTGCTGGCAAAGGCCAGTGCGCATGCGCCCTGCTGACACTCCAGTAATCCGTGGAGGAGATTGCATCCGAGTCCACTGCGCTCAGGCTGCTACCAGTGAGGGAGAATTAAAAATGATGGAGGAGACGTGGAATTGGAGAAAGGCAGGCTGAGATGTTCGGACGTGGTTCTGGGACGGATCGGGATGTCGCGATGAGCAACCGGGACGGGAACGAGGATGAATCCGAATCCAAGACAGCGAGGCTCGGCTTGCGAATATGAGAAACCCGCAGACAGGAATGAAGCCGGCAGAAGATAAGAGGTTTTCTCTGGGATCTGTATATCTGTGGTACGTGGACGCAGGCGCAGAAGGGGAGACCAGCAGCGCTGCTGTTCATTATAAGGCTAAAGTGGACCGGCGCGCTGCTTTCCTGACCACCTAATTACTGCTCGATACTTTGTCTCCTGCCCCATCATCCCTCGGTCCAAATGCACACTGTGAAGTTTGTCCTCCGTGTCAGTTTCGCCGTCAAGACGCGCGGCTCGTAGAGACTCGCAATGACGGGCAGACGCGTCCAGATCAACCCGAGCCAGCTTGCAGGAACTGGACCGGCCGCGCTCCTGGCTGCGGGATCAGACAGAAATTAAGCTGCGGCTCTCAGACAGGAAGACCAGGATCAAATCCCCGCTGTTGAGCTGGCAGAGGACCGCAGCGTGACACCCAGCACCCACTCCAGCCCAACCTCTCGGGAAATCTGTTGGATAACTCTTGAGGTGTAAAGAACTTTTTGATTTATTTTAACCCAAGAAGGAATCCCCTCTTTACATATTTGTGATATGACATGTTCACCTTCAGAGAGACGCAGCTGATATGTTGCTTTTAAATCTCCACAGCAGCTGTTCCTCTGAAAGGGGAAACCTGGAGATTTGCATACTTGTTGTTTTGCCAAAACTCCTCCCTTGAAATCCAGTGCATTAATTTCCTCCAGCTTCCCTGTTGTAAATAATTCTTCAGGCTACTTTCACTTCCAACTTTCAATTTCTTGACATGTATGTCGTGTTAAAACTCAACAAACAGATTTGCGTACCTACGTATTTCAGGTGTTTAACGCTGATTTTCTGAGCATGTCTAATAGAGAGGACAGGAAGCGCTTCCAAGGACTTTTCATATGCTATGCACAAGATTTGCTGCAGAATGTCGCAAGCCTAGAAAATGCAAGGAGAGAATTGCAAGGCTTTGCATCAGAAAAACTACATTTCGACCTCTGGAATCAGTAAAAATGCTCCCACTATTCAGAACTTTTCGCATGAACTCTGGGAAACGCAGCCGACTTTGGATCGTCTACCTGCAGATCACCAACATTTGTGAGCAGCCCGTCTGTACCTGAGCCGAGGAGGAGGTCTGTGCTGTTCTTGAGGACCTCGGTGTGCTGCACCTGCTTCAGATCTGGATCCCTCAACTTCTGTGCTGCAGGGAAAACAGAAGCGAACAGGTATCAGGAAGAAAGCAGGGTCTATTTGACCTAAATCTGTGGAGATGGGGAGCTCGGCCTCGTCTCTCGCTGCAGAGACCGAGTCGGACCATGGCTTTGGCAGCACCTCCTACCCGTCGTCGCCCCCTGTGGGCTGGCTCAGAAACAGCCACAGCAGTCCTGTGTGGGGAACCACCTTCATCACACGGCAGCACCAGCAGCCTGTGCCGCACCGGGAGCGCAGGTACAGCCTACAAAATTAAACACAAGATGTGAAATTACAAAACTACATTTCCATAATTTACTTTAAAGTTTTGGCGCAAAGATGGTGCTACTTTTCAGCCATCTTGAATCATTCAGGTGCCATGATGGATGTGGGAAGTGAGGGACGGGAGTTACTGTAAACACCTGGCTTAGAAACCAACCTGAACCTCCTCCCTCCTGACATCACATCACTGACTTTGTCTGAATTCACACCACATGATTTATATCACTACAAAACTTAAAAAACATACAAAAGATGAGATGCTAACCAGTTTTTCCTATACATGTCAGACTACATGACGATGTCTTCATGATTACTAATAGTCTTTCTTACTTATAAAGTATATAAATGTTAATCTTCTCACCTTGTAAAAAGTGTTTGTTTTACACCGAGGCTGACGGCTGCTATCCGTCGCCGTCAAATTTATAACATAAAATGACGAGTTTGGTTTGTATCCTTTTCTGTTTGTGCATCCTATAACCACTTTAGAGTGGAATCAACTATATAAAGGGTTATGAGGTTACAGATGTCTGTTTTTAGACTGGTTAGAAGCAGCTTGGTTGTCATGGCGGAGTGGGTGGATTTCCGCAGAGCGTTGACGAGTCACATGATCAACACGAGTTCGTACCGCCGAACATAACGAGGAAGATTTGTTGTTGTGTGTTTTATTGGACAAAGTGCAGCTGGCTCCACCTGAGCGCTCACAGCATCACGCAGTTCGTGAAAAGTTGTTTGTTATTCGAACAATTTGTGCACATTTTTATCAGTATCTGCTGGAGATACAAAGAATATAAACTTCTTCCCTCGTTTTCTTGGACACATTATGGTGCAGAGTGGAATATTTTGTCTCCACCGTTCATTTGAAAAATGCTTTTTGACCAAAGCCTCTAAGTGAAGGATTCAGTAACTCCCTTGCCATGGATCCCACCCACTGGTTCACCAGAGCTTATCTAATCAAAGCCTTCATTTTGATGTTTGGCCATGATGCACCCAAAATCTGGCTAAGCTGGATTAATGAAAGCAAAATCCTGCCTCGGCTAGATGATGTTTAGGAGGTTTTTAGTAGATTGCCTGTACAGATAGATCTAACCTCCATAGAAACAACAAACCAGGACTAATTTGAAAATGAGTTTGATTATAGTCTTTTTGTCGGACTTTTTGGGCTGCTTTAATACAGTTTTTCTAACATTGGTAGTTAAAGTATGAAGGGCCACTGAAAACAGGTCCATCTCTAAATAAACCCATCTACATTTGACCCATCTCTTCCACCGTAGAAACGGTAGCAATGTGTCCATCAACGTTTTTGAAGTATCTCATTAGAAAATGTCGGTGGAAATGGCAAAATTTTAAATAACTTTCTTAAAAGAAGAATTTAGAGGTGGACATTGGCAAGAAGTTGATGTGACTTTTTTTCTTGTCTGTTATGTCAGTTTGTAACCATTTTCTGATTGTATTATCACTTATTTGTCGGCTCTTTAGCCCAGAACAGGTTTATGGATATTATAACTTGGTCTCAGTTGCAAATTCTTGATAATTATTGAGTCAGTAAGGAATATATTTAATTAAATTGAGATTATGGGTAGGATTAAATTTGTGTTGTCTTTTAAACAAATGTATGCACACATTTCCTTTGTCCTACTGATTGCTTTCTTTTTCTTGCTTATAAAAACCCGTTTGAAAAAAATAAATCAAATTTTGCAGAATTGTTTAAGGTGAAGATGAATTAATGTGCAAAATAGGAGAAACGTGTTTGCCAAATAAATTCAAATCTCAAATCAGTTTTAGTTAGTTATTTTTTAAACTTGCAAGAGTTTTGACAGAAAGTGACTGTCCTGTTCTTATTACTGAACATAGATGTATTTGATCAAGCCCAACAGAAACTGAACACCACGTCTCAAAAATTTTTCTAGAATAAAAATAAATTTTTTAGATTAATATCATAAAAAAAGTGTAAATTTCAAATGTTGAAATTTTTCTTTTAGGAAATTTAAAAATTTTCTAGAAATTTTAATCACAAAATTTCAGTTTTTATCAAAAAATTTGCTAGTTTTAATTTTTGTTATGCACCATCACATAAATCCCTCATGTTTTGGATCTACAGTAAATATTATTTGCCTGACATTAGGTCATTGGGGAGCCCTGACATGCAGGAACCCTTAACACAATGCCGCCCTGGATGGTGAGCCATACTTTACGGACTACCACTAAAAAGTACATCACAGAAAAGACATAATATTCATGTATATTCACAATCAAATGAACCTGCTGTGTCATCTGTGTTGTGGTTAAAAGTTTCTAACTTTTTCTACGAACAAACTCGGCAGCTGAGTGACTGGCCGATGCGTCTTTAAGGAGCCACACTATTTGTTGGAGAGACGTTGCGTTCCGATTGACTGGATTTCTGAGTTTTACTGCATTAAAAGATTTGCTGTTTCAACAAGAAGCAGCGTACGGCAGTAATCCGCCGTTCCAGTCGCTGCTTCCTGAATCCCAGTCAACATACTGAAAAAGAGGAAAGCGTTGGATGTGCAGCTCGCAGCTCAAACGGCGCTTTGGACTCATTTTCCTCCAATAGGTCTTGGAGGAAAATGAAATCTTCTGGACCAATCTCACAGAGATTTGTTTAGAAGCGTTTCCTGTTTTTTATCTATTATTTCGTTTGCTTTTTCTGGTCCCGTCTCCCAGAACGAGAGCAGGCAGTTTATATCGACCGCCTGAAGTGTATTGAAGTTGTTGCTGAGTCACTCAGGGCATCATGGTCTGGTTGTTAGTTATTGATTTTCAGAGAGCCCGATCACATTTCCCCACAATGGATGTTATTATTTATTCAGCATCCGTCTCCAGTTGGGCTTTCATCTTTCCTGATTCCTGCTGTCAGTGCTCGCCTTGTGGCTTGCTCTACATTTAGCAGTAAAGGCCGGCTTGTCGTGGTCAGGCAGATTTTTAAAAAAGTCCACCCAGACAGGTCTTGTTGTATTTGCTCAGAGTTTAAGCACAGATCCATCAACCACAGCTGGATTTATGAATGAATTGGATGCTCCTGCCGTCAGTCTGCCTTTGCATCATTCAATCATCGTCTTTTTTTTTGTTTGCCAGTCTCCGCTTCCTGTCAGCAATCAGACTGCACTCTGAATCCGCTCAGCACATAAGTGTAGATGGAGAGTTTTTATTTTTAATCAGGATAAAATCAACATAATGCACATAACAGTGGTGCAGTTGGTAGCACTGTTGCCTTGCAGCAAGAAGGTCCTGGGTTCGATTACCGGTCCGGGGTCTGTCTGCTTGGAGTTTGCATGTTCTCCCAGTGCATGGTGGGTTTTCTCTGGGTACTCCTTCAGTTCAAAAACATGACTGTCAGGTTAATTGGTCTCTCTAAATTCTCCCTGTGTGTGTGTGTGTGTGTGTGTGTGTGTGTGTGTGTGTGTGTGTGTGTGTGGTTGTCTGTCTCTGTTGCCCAACGACAGACTAGCGACCTGTCCAGGTGACCCCGCCTCTCTTCTTCTTCTTTTTTTTAATTTTAAGCTACTTTTTTAAAAGAGATAAAATTTCTTGATTTTTATTGTAATTTTTCCAAATTTGTGGCCCACATGACAGAAAGTCTGGACACCCCCGTCTTACAGGGACACCCACACTTGCATCGTGGACTTTCTCCCGTCACCCCACTCTGCCTCTCTCGTTTACACGCCGCTGTGTGATCCTAACCGCGTTAGGCAAGCTTTGCTGAGCTGTGACAGAGCATGAAATATAGAAACAACAAAACACTTCGAGCCCGGCTTATTTTCAGCTGCTCTCTTCCAGTTTCTTCTCTAATAAATTGTTCCATAAAACATTTTCTCTCTCAACATTTTTTTTTCCTCTTATGCTTTTCCAACCCTAGATTTCATTGGCTGTCTAGTCCTTGGGGTGTTTTTCATTTTTTGATTTTATAAATTGGCTTTCCTCAGGAGCGTTTGCTCCTGAGGAAAGCCAACTTATCACACAGAGCTGCAGTGTTTCTTAGCTTTGGCTCGTGTTTTAATTGAAGCGCCACAGTGTAGTTCTGCGCATTGTTCGGGGAACAATGCTGCTTTGATTCTCTTTACTTCAGCAGCGACCAGCTAACGTCTTTCGCTGCCGATGTCCTTGAGGCTCTGGAGTCTTTCCGGAGCTGATCCTCGGTGCCTCCTCTGTCCCGGTGTGATGAATGTCGCTGTTTATCGCCGCTCCATCCGCCGGCTCTCCTCCCGTTTAATTGGATTGAAACCGGTCCACTTGGGCTCAACAAGCGTGGTCACTGGCGGAGTTCATGTCGGGATCGTTTCAGCACGTCCTCCTTTGCGGATCGCCTGCCTGATGGAGACGGGTTCTGGTCGGCACAGACCCGTCGTCTCCAGAATAGATTTGGCAAGCAGCAGTTGTCTTAAAGTGTGTCTGTATTTGGAAAACAGAGCAGTTATGCAGCGTGAAAAAGAAAAAGCTGGCCTGTTGCCTCTGACATGATCCCAGATTTCCCCATTCTTGTTGCCATGGAAATCTCTAGCATATGCTAACCTAATTCCTCCAGACGAGACCGAACACGGAAAACCTGGCTGTCCGAGCCAAAACGCGGAAACTGCTGGCAACCCGCACATCTGCAGACACTGGCTTGTCAAAATTCCTGCAAACTTTTACTGAGGAGGTCCGGTCTGGTCCGGTCCGGTCCGGCTGGCTTGTTTCAAACCCCTTTCACTGCTCAGTGTTCAGGCGCCATCTGCTCATCCACAGCAGATAAATCTTTACTTTGTGTCGATTTGAGAGCCATCCGTCCGGTAGATGGTAGTTTTCTGTCAGACTCCTCAGATTCAAAAGCCTCCAGGAACTTTATATTATTAGAGCCGCAGCCGACAACAACGCCGTCATCCTCTTCCTCGTCTCCGGCTGCGTTGCTTCTTCTTGCTGCTAACGCCGGCTGAAGCCCAGTCAGACAGCTTCCTCTGTTTAAAGATTCAAACGTCCAAAGC